GTGTGTGTGTGTGTGTGTGTGTGTGTGTGTGTGTGTGTGTGTGTGTGCAGATGCGTTTGTGGACGCAGGCCCGTCAGATGGGCTGGTACGCCGGCCGCTGCATGGCGGCACACGTCTTGTCTGAACCAATAGAATTAGACTTCTGCTTCGAACTCTTCTCACACATCACCAAATTCTTCAACTACAAGGTGCATGACTTTTTTACTGCGGGGGGGGGGGGATCTGTTTAAATAATAACAAAAATATTAATCATCTACTGTGCAAATTATAATTGGTTACTTTCAAGACCCTTCAAGGTCATTTTAGTGTCTCTACCTCTTGGCTCAGTCACACGGTGCATTTACACAACTTCCTGTCTGCTGGTCATTCCACAGGTGGTCCTGCTGGGGAAGTTTAATGGGCAGGGGCTGGGGCCCGACCACGAGCTGCTGTTACGCTGTACCAAAGGCCAGGAGTATGTCAAGGTGATACTGACGAGAAAGTCCACGCACCCACGCTCTCGTGTGTTAGTGTACCCAGTGTTATTTAACAACCAAAAATGCTTCACTTACATCAAAAAGGGATTTACTTTAGGACATAAATGAATGCCTGTTATGTAAGCAGTACCAAAATCACATGTTGGTGATGTCATACCTCTCTCTCTCTCTCTCTTTCTCTCCCATTTCTACCCTGTGCTCTGTCTAATAAAGGTGAAAATGCCCCTAAAATAATCTTAAGAATCACAAGTTGCTTGGATGCTGTTAGACATTCTTGTAGTAGCCAGTGGCATCTGGAAAATGTCCCGCTTGAATTTTTGTAGCTGTGTGAAAGAAACCACTGTTTTTCTGTGGGTATGATTCAATGCTGCTAATATGAGCCGGAAGCAAAACCCTGATCAGCTGGTTATTTGTTGAACTTGTAAAGGGACATCATGAAGTCCAGCATCCGATCTCACACGATTTACCCCTGTGTGTCTGTTCCAGGTCGTTCTCAGTGGAGGTAGGATGGTGGGAGCAGTGCTAATCGGGGAAACAGACCTGGAAGAGACGTTTGAGAACCTGATCCTCAACCAGATGGATCTGACCCCGTACGGAGAGGAGCTGCTCAACCCCAACATTGATATCGAGGACTACTTTGACTGAGCATGAGGGGTTTGATTCAGCAACATGTTTGGGCCTGACGAATGTCTAAAGGGCATGAGAAGGAAATGTGCATTCTGTCATTTCCATTTTTTTAATTGGCAATGAGAAGAAGCTGTCTGATGAAGTAGCAATTGTCTTGGTTCTTATCAACACACTTGTAAATTAATGAATATATTTTTCCTTTAAAATAAATTATTTTCAAAACACCATAACTAGCACTTGAGTGATGTGACTAGAAAAGCCTTTTTCATTTAGTCGTAACATGAATGCAAATCCATCTCTTATATATCTGAGTTGCAGGTAAGAGACACTGACACTTTTTTACCCAGAATAATGGGATACGTTCAGCAATACAGGAAGGTAAAGAAAGATAATCCTTTTGTTGCCATGTTGTCTTAGCGATCCGTGATCAAATTTCAACCTAAATAGCAACCACGGCTCCTCCTGTGCCTCAGCAGGCGTTATAACAATAGCCATTATCAGGCTTGCATGGTGCCGTCTATTGTTTCTTGGATATGTTGCTCTTGGAGATGATGCTATTTGTAAACCTCCTGAAACTCCACTTTTAATAGGAAAAGAAACATTAGAAGTAACATGGAAACCACACGGACAATTTAGATTACCAAAAAGAAGTCAAACACTCATTTCCACTTGTGAGTTTTCCTGTAGTTTTGTGTTTTTTACTGTAGATGTGTTTTTTTTGGGGTCAGTGGTTCACCAACAGGTACCTGCCCACATTGATTTAGCTGCTACCATTGGTTGATAAAGGTTATCAAGGCAACATTGTTCGAAACAAGTAAATATCAATGTGTGTATAAGGCAACAATAGTAGCTTACTAGTGAGGGGCAAATGGGGCGTGTTCCAGTTATTTTCCCTACTTTACAACTTTGGAAATAAGTCTCCAAAAGAAGAGACCGTCGTCAACATAAGGACAATAAAAAGCACTGCTTTCCCTATAGAGCTACTGATAAGGTGCAAGATGACACCCTCCAATTAGCTCAACTGGAGCTGCCAAGTGGAAATGACCGACTGATTGCACTGGACAGCCAAGTGTGCTCACCTGTGTGAGTGGAGAGCAGGGCATTGTTTACAAGGTGAGTCAACACTGCCCATGGTGACACATGCATCAAAAAAGAAAAAAGAGGGCAGTAAATTGGTGCAATGTGATCCTTAATATTTTACACAGTACGTTACCAGGTGACAAGGCAGATCTAGCATGAATTTGATGTGTTGAGGAACATTTTCTTTCATGTCCATATCTGTGGCTGGTTCAGATTAGTTTTATTCACTGCGCAGCAGAGACAGAAGTTCACAAATAGTTCTGAAGAACTCAACTCACAAGTCTGTAGTGGATTTGCATGGGCCCAATGCAGGTATGTTGTACAGAGCAAAAGGTGATTTGATACATTGGGGTGTGACCTCTTACAGGGCTGGCCGGGGCTCTCTTCACACGACACCAAAAGGTTTCACTCCCAGAGGTTTGTTAATGCTGTAAAATTGTTTCAGGGGTTACTGTCAAAGATATCACTTTTTTTTTTCTACAGATGCCAGCATGGAACAGATATTACATGGTCAAACTGGCTTATGGTCAAGATGGAAAAACACCAGGGGTGTCGCCATTGATATAAAGTATATTTAGATTTATATTTTAGAGGGACTGAACCTCTGCTATGGGACCTCAGACTTTAAAAATAAATAGGTTGCATATTGGTTGTGCAAGTTGCAATGGCCCTAAATCCTTGTTGCAAATAAAATAATATTGGTGTTAATTGTTCATGACATGCAGTAACTCTATCTCCTTTAATAATTAATATACATGAAGAAGATATAGACAGCAGACTCAACATACAGTGGACATAATGATGAGACCACACAAACTGCTTGATTTCTCTCCTTGACAGCTTATTACTTATTCTGTCTGTCATTCAGTTCATATCTATAAAATAAAAAGATTAGGTTTTTGTTGTGCAATGTCATGAGGGATAAGGCAATTGGGTATAGCTTTAAGGCAGCTGGTTAGTGTGAGTCCAACAACCACTAAAAGAAACAGAAGCACAGACGTTTCCACGTTCTCGTGTTTCCATTACACCTAACGCACCAGGATGGGGGTGTTCATGAGACTCGAAAGCCGGATTACTTTGAGTTAAAGTGGGCTAACACTCTCTGAGTCAGACAACAGGCCTGCCCATCTCTGACATTTAAAACGCTCGGACTTGACACAAAGCTCATTTCATTCAAGTGGATTGCGGATGTGACGTCAGAAGCATAGTGCGTTACATGTGTACGCTTGTATGTATCCACCAAGGATGAGATAATTGAATCGCCATAGAAACGTTTGAGTCATATGTTTGATTTGTAACACTTTTTATGTACAGTATACGTTTGTAACGTCACTTGTATATGTCTAATACGTTTTTATACGTTGTTGTCTTCGAGTTACATTCACATTAGTTTGTATATTTCCGTATTTAATTATTAAGCTCCGCCGGCGGTGCACGCTGACGAATTGAACAGGCGCTTCTCGTGAGTCATTCGACTACCAGCATGCATCGGGGGAAGGTTTTTTTCTGGTGGGTGGGATTTTTCAAGAGGCGTTGCCGACTACGTACTAACGCTCCTCCAGGATTATATATCTGCGCTCGTCACGTATTTTCATACATTGCGCATTTAGGCCCTGCGAACAGCACGCGAATCGTCAGAGTCTAAGATATTCCAAGAAATAAAGATTTAGCATGGCCAACTACATTCATGTACCCGACGAGGCTCCCGCTGTGCCCAAAATAGACGTGACAGTTGACGAAAGCGACTACAGATCCGGTGCATTGAAGCTGATCAAGGAGCTGAGACCGAATTGGAAGCCATCCGAGGTCAAACTGAAGGTGCTTTTTATTATGTTTTTTAAATCTTTAATCTGCTTGGTATGACATCCCCCCCTTTGCGTGTATATATCATTGTCTATCTTTAGAGTATAAGTCGTTTACAATTGCAAAGACCGGTGTAAGCTAGCAGCGTGGTCTCACGACAAAACCCAAGTTAGCTAAAACCAACGGTAATTTATTCCAGTAGCAAATAACACACGTACCAGCTAATCTAATGACACGCAGAGCAGCTAATCTAATGACACGCAGAGCAGATAATCTAATGACACGCAGAGCAGCCCAAATGCTACATCTATTTCACTATAAAATATCTGTTGCCATCCTCAGACAGATGGTAACGTTAGACAATGCCTTCGCTTTATTGCAGCTACTAAGGTACTGCGGTAGTTCCTCCGCTAATGGGTTGCCTTTGCAAATAGCATCTGCGTCACTTCAGATCCAACATGGGGAGCTTCTCCCTGCTTCTAGTCGCAGATTATAAAACCGTACCTGCACGTTTTGACTACCTACGCATTTTAAATATGGCACGAATTAGCATTTTATTTTTGCCTGCAGGTGGTTATACAGATAGAGAGGTGTGCGTCGCAGTTTCAGTCACGATTGTCATCATGCAACATCATGCAAACTGTGTCAACCTATTGACACAGTTTCTGTAAATGTACGAGGCTGAGACGCTACTCTGTACTCTGACTACATCGTCTGTTCTCGTTAACTTCAGGAAGAGACGTGTATAACAAATGGAGCATGCCTACGAACTACATTTTATTGACTATATGTAATCTTCTAAGTGTCCTCTGATCTGCTAAAGTCAAATCAATTCAAAATATAGCAGCAAACGGAACAGTACATTCTGTTATTCTAGAGAAGCATGCTGATACATGAGCTCGACATTAAATCCTCTGCGTACAGTACCCCCACAAAGCCAGTTATTTTAGTTTTCCAGTAACAGCCTCTGGGGGTGTGGCTCCTTTTTGGTAAACACAGTGAGGGTTGGAGATGGTCACATGCTCCGCCACACTTGCCTATATTCATCAATGAGAGAGCAAAGTGGCAACTCAGCAAATGCCTGCCATAGCTTCCTCATGCCAAATCAAATTCCTGACCTGTTTTTCTCAGTCTACGCCTAATGGAGTGAACAATAAGGGCTGGTATGTTGACGCCCCCCCCCCCCGGCCGAAAAAAAGTCCCCAGCTTCCCAGCAGATACAGTCCAGCTTAAATCAACCCAGACAGGCCTTAATCTTTCAATGCTACATTCATTCCTCGTCTCTGTTTTTGTGTGGCTTGCCAGATTCCTCTCAGAACTTGTGTAATGCTCCAAACAATGTAGGTTTTCATAGTACTTATATGGTTTAGTGCAAGGACGGTCCCACTGGCGTCCAGCTAGGTTTCTGAAGTACAGGATAAATTGTGACTTCTTGACCGATTCACCTGTTCTCCACCCTTTCGTCTTTTTGTCCCTGCAGTTCTTCACAGACGGGATCACCAATAAGCTGCTGGGTTGCTACGTGGGTGCAGTCGTACAGGATGTGGTCCTGGTCCGTATTTATGGCAACAAAACAGAATTGTTGGTTGACCGGGAAAATGAAGTGAAAAGTTTCCGAGTACTACATGCAAACCGCTGTGCCCCACACCTATACTGCACCTTCAACAATGGCCTTTGCTATGAATTTCTGCAAGGAACGGCCCTGGAGCCTGAGGACATTCGCAGCCAACCTGTGTTCAGGTAAAACTACTTTTCCTTTTTATGCAAAGGGTGTCTTGTGAACTGTTCCTGCCACCCCGAGGCTAACTGTGGAGGCTTGACAGACAGACAGATGCACACGCACTCATACATATTGACACAACTACATAAACAGGATCCTTCACAATCCTTGAGATACACCCTAAGGAACTACCGCTGTAGCAACTTGTAGAATTGAGAAAATTCAACGAAAATCAGTCATGCCCAGTTCCTTAACGGTTTCTGCCCCTGAAATGTAACCTCAGCCGAGGAGAATCTTTCATCAACTGCAACTTGGTGGAAGTGACTGGTGTACACTGATATTATATTAATAAGATTAAAACTAAACAATAAAATGTTCATCTCTTTCATAGTTTTACCAACATAGTTGCTCAAGTAACTCTTGTATCTGGGTTGAAAACCAAAGCTAACGTTAAGCTTGAACATTTAAAAAGAATGGAAATGCTAAAAGGCGTTTGATGGACAGAAGACACGTGGAAGACAACCTTTTTAAAATATATTATTTAAAAACAAATCCATCATTTTTTCTTTTCTACCTTGCAGTCTCATTGCCAAGCAGCTGGCCAAGTACCATGCCATCCATGCCCACAATGGCTGGGTGCCCCAGTCTGACATGTGGATGAAGATGGGCAAGTACTTTGCTCTCATCCCCAAGTGCTTCAAGGACCCAGAGCGAAACACCAGGTGAGGCCATGTAGATCTGCCAGATCCTTAGACTCCTGATCACCTGTCAGACTTTTACCTCTGGCCCTATAAATTCAGTCTGTTCGCACAGGCTGAGTTGCAAAATGTTATATACATCAGACCGGCAATACCTCATCCAGAGTAGGCTCTCATCACCACGCCCCCTTTTACAGGGAAAACAATAGCACGGTGACGGCATAAGTCAAGGAAGATGAAATGCGTCTCAAAGCTGTTATGTAGGGGGTTAACTGAGGCCTTTCCACTGAGATTTGAGGCTCATATGAGACGTGAATATTCACTGTCAGTGGGGTAAATGGCGGATTTTTTTAACGAACAATACTTTGCCAAATGATAGTGACTCTTAAAATATGTATAGATGCCTGGAAAATCAATATCTCGCCACTTTAATATCAACTTTCATTTATTAAGGTATCACAGATGGTCAGGTCACAAAACAATCATTAAACATCTCGATAAAACAAACGTTTCTTTGACAAGAAAGACATTAAATCAAAATCAAACATGTCAAAATTACAATCCAAAGATGTCAACTTGCATCGATATCCACAGGGTCTTTGGTTTTCTCTCCAAAAGGGGCGTGGCCTCAACGTTTTGCAAAGTGCCGGTATGTGCCAGTCTGATGTATAAGACAATTGTACGGTTCAGGACTCGCCAAACAGCTTATCTGCAGGTTTTATGTAAGCTATATTTAGACAAAAAGAAATGCATCATAATACTTAGACTTAAATTCACCACTATTTTAAAAATCCTAATTATTGAAACAAAGCAAGAACAAACCTTTGAAAAGCAGTATACTCATTAAACATGTACATTATTATAAAGTATAATGTCATTTGGAGGATATTTAATTTACCCTACATTTAAATGGATATGAAGTACAAAAAATAAGCCCTTTAATAAATAGATTTGAAGAACATAAGGCATAAATATGTGATTTTAAGACCTTTTTAAAGAAGGCTGAATCGTCAGAAGAAGAAAAGCCTCTAATCACATTGTTTGGAAACATTTGGCTTTGCCTCATGTATATGTCTGTCCACGTGGAACTATGACTTCATACGTCTCTTATCAGTGAGTCATTAATGATCCAAACAACCCCTTGTGCAATGGCACAACAAGAGGTCCTGCTGACATGTAGATGTCTCACATCTGAGGTTAATAGAATAAAATTCTCCAAATGACAAACGGGAAAGAGCAGCACCCTGAAAACATGAGAAATGGTGAATTGTCCTTTTCACGCTCCTGGCATCACTCAACACGTAGCCCGTGTTGTAGACTGACACTAAACAAACCGTGTAATTCTATCTTCATCTAAATATGTATCTACATAAGTTTCCCTGTATTCCTGGTGTGTCGGTACCAACGAAAAAACAACGCGGGTTGTGCTACGCAGGCAAATTGAGTAATGACAATTTGGCCATTTTTGCACTGCTGGATCTTGATTTATTTGAACATTAAGTTTGCAATAATAACAAGCTTTCGTTTATGGTGACACCCAAAGTGAATCCAAAACAAACTCTAAATTTCCTTGGAGGCCAGCCAGGCCACCAACACACAAACACTGCCAGAGAAATGCTGAGACTCATGAAAGACCGCGACGCCCGCAGCATCTTTGGGGTTTAGCTATGTTGAAGGCAAAAACAAGTAACTGGGTGAAGTGCTTAGCACATGGCTCATGACCACAAGAAGTTAAGTTTGCTCTTTCAATTATGTGTTGCATAATGTTTGTTTATTGTCAGCTCGTCTGATTGTGTTTGGTGCGACTAAATGTTAGCACTGCATACTCTGACACATAAATAAATGACCTAAATCAAACCAAGCAACCAGAGAAGAGCAACTTGCTGCTATCAGTATTACGTGTATCAGTTATGGTGTCGCGACTAATAATAAAACCTAATTTTATTGGCAGGAAATGCAGCTGTAAACGAGCTGTAGTGAGGGCTTAAGTTGAGTCACAACATCTTTTATTCTGGTAGTCAAATTGGGAGGATGTCGGTTCTTATTCTGTTAATGGAGCTTATTATTTACAGAAATGTTCCCCGTTTGCTCAAGTTAAGTTTTTGTGAGACACAGCTGTTATGCAAAATGTATTAAGTTTTACATAAAGAGCGTCCATACACAGATCATGTGTTGTTGTTTTTTTAAGATAGCAATTAATCTCTTTTCCCTCCACTTTTCTCATTTTCTGTTCCTATTTAATACTTTTCAATATACGGCATTGACCCTCTTTGCCTCTGCCCCTCCAGGTTGACTATGGAGGTACCAAGCCCTCTCTGCCTCCGAAAGGAACTGGTGTGGCTCCAGCAGAGCCTGTCTGTGCTGGGCTCCCCAGTTGTTCTCTGCCACAACGACCTTCTCTGCAAAAACATAATTTATAATGAGGAGGCAGGTGAGTATTAACTGCAGAAGTGTAGTCATAGACGTTACTGTGTGACTGAATCGTGTGTTGTAGTGTGAACTGCATTGGTCTCTGCGCTCAGGTAGGATGGCAATAACTGCACTTCCTCAACCCTAGTCACATGCTTCACTCATTGCCGGTGTTTGCATTGGGCTGCAGGCAAAGAGTTAGAACGGCCGGAGAAGACAGACCTGTTCTTTGGGCGCTCAGCTCTGAGATGGAATCCTCATTTGAAATAGGAGAAACACAACGCAGATTAAAGCCGCGTGTTGATTGATGCGGATTGGAGGGTGGGGGGGCAGAAAAATGTGTATCTGCCGCCAATAGATTTGCCAAATTTGCATTAAATCTGTCACAAATTATATTTAGTCTTCCGGATTTCAATTTCCCTTACCTTTTTTTTTTTTTTTTAAAGGTAAAGTCGTTTCTAATATGGATTTCTGTCTTCTTTCCAAAATTTTGTCTGATCTGTCGTTCTAATTCTGTGCTGAAAACTTAGAACGTAAACCACTGTTATCAGCGTGAACAAACAATGCCATTACATCATACCACATACCAAGTCTTAGTTCTATTGACAGCACATGTTTTTGGTGCTATAGCAATGCTATTTTGATGGTATGAAGGTCAAGCAGCCTATCCTCAGCCTGCTTTTGCACTGAGCGACTTTGTTTATTCTGGTCAATGAGACTGTACGAGTCAGTGAAACTGTTCTTATCATTGTCTTTGTAGCAGAGGAATTTTGGGATAAACTGGTCAGGACAAATGAGAGAGGGTGGGAAAGAAGAGATGTATGCGGGAGGTGGGGTGGGGGTGATAAAGAGCTGTCAGCCCCCTCGTCGGTTTGCGGCGAGGGGCGGGGCCCTTCTCACAGCTCCTTGTGTCTAGCCTTTCTCCCCTAGGAATGACAGCCGAGGCTGTGGCTGCCCTGCGCCGCCCTGCCCCTGGGGAGGCAATGGAGAGAGACAAACCCTCACGCACAGTCGGCTTTGAGGGCCCTCGCGTAGTCTGCCCACTGCTCGGGTTAATCGGGATGAGTTCATGGCAGCAGTAGGAGCCCTGTACCTACCTATTACCCTCCATTGCTACTCGCTCACCAGTTTTCCCTCTTGACAGTATTGAGGCTACTTACGATGCTGGTTATCACACAAATGTTTTTTTTTTTATGGTTTGCACTTGCTTTGAGTCACTCTGAGCACCAGCCAAATGCCTAAAGTGTAAAGCTACTTTCCGTTACTCCTCCTTACTGCGCAATTTCCATTCCACAGCACCAATAATGATAAGTAGGCAAGTATATGTCTGGCGATGTTCTGTATTTTTCTTATTGTCAACAAGTCCCATCTGAAAAAACAAACCAACATTGAATTGACCAGACTAATAAGTATTCCCCGTGTAAACCCTATTTATAGCGTGTTGTCCCTGGTGATAGAGCTCCATTGTTGTCCAGGAGATTAAAAATCACAGTGAGCCACACTGTTTGACTGGGTGACATTATAAATACACACAATGTAGTTTATTTTTGAGTCAGTACCACATAACCCATACCAAATACTCAATAAATCCACTGTTTGTTTAATATTTGCAAATAACAATGCGTAGCTGTTTTTTAGTGAACTGCTAAGCCTTTTTTTTTTTTTTCAGATGAAAGTGTTCATTTGTGAGCCCATTATTAGTGATTCGTCTTCAGAAGGGATGAATGGGCTTCGGGCTGAGAGCCACAGGCTGGCGGAGTTGGAAAGTATAGAGAGACAGACTACCACATTGTTGGTTTTGGTCTTTTAATGGGATTTGTTGACATAAACATTAATATAGAAATCATCTGCTGTATCCGTTGAAGCTGAAACACGCCTCTGCAAAAATGTGGGGGAACCCCTTTGCCTCAGCACATCAAACAGAGATTCTGGTTAACCGTAGCTCACAGAAGTAGACGTGCACGCCTGCAGAATCTTATTTGAATCTGTGGTTTTGCATTTCAAATAAATGCTGACTTATCCAGTTTCACTGGGATTGGACCAAAACTCAGCACAGAACCCCCTTAAAGGGAATATTCGCCATCTTCTATGTGTCCAATCAGTGTTAAATGGTAATGCCAATATTAAGTTCATGAATAGCGTAGGTCAATTGCGCAGACATTTGAAAGGCGGTGCACAACATCCATGCATATTTGCAGAATCATGTTTCAGGCTTCAAGTCAGGCTGAGGTCCTCTTCTGTTTGGAGGTATTACTGATTAATACGAGCAAGGAATTTCCCCGATACGTCTCACTAAACACAACTAGACCACACCTACAGATGACGAGCACAATGGAACGTACACCACAGTAGAGTCCAGGGAATCAAGCAATCATTTATACACCTCTAATCTTACCGTGGCAGGTCAAGCAGTCTAAACCGTCGTCGTAAACTCAGTCTACCGCCTACGGCCTTTTTCTTGAGTAGGCATGAAAAGAGTTCAGCTCCCACGCTGCTTCCTGTCACTTCACAGCTGTAGTTGCTGACTTGTAACCACTTGTCTGCCAAACGCGACTGCAGAGAAGCCGCCACTTCCTTTATTGATAAAACCATAAACTGAAGTGGTGAACACTTTCTTTTTCTCCGTTTTCCAAAGACAGTTTCAAAACCACTCTCACCAAGTGCTCTGTTACTTTTCCCTCGTCTTTTTGTCTCTCTTTACTGTGTCTCTGTCTCCAACGCAGGCTGCTGTAGTTTCCCTGCCCCTCTCACTTTACTCCGCTATTTTTAAAGAACAAGAAATCCGCACACATTTTACTGGGTCCCATGGGCCACAAAATCTGCAAAAAATCTGCGTCAGAGGTGTCGCGCTTTTGGGTTCACAGCGGACCTATGGGAAGGGAGCATTGGAGGGGAGTGTTGTGAGAAGGGGAAGTGAGGTTGCATGTGTGAGGAGGGGGGGCAAGAAAAGAAAAGGGAGTTTGGCTGCAGGGCCTGATGTTTTTCGACACTGCGTGGGTGTGAGAATGGATAAAAAGACAAATATGTCAGTGTGAGAGTGAGCATGTGTGGAAGATGTGTTTGCCCCAACCTTTTCATCTGCTGCACAGGGGGGGCTATAGCCACTGCCTGGAGGTGTTCAGTTGTGTCCCGCTAGGACCTACACGTCAGCTGGTAACCCACCTCAAAGTGACTTTCTCTGTAGTCCAGCACCACCTCAAAAACTAATGTTCATATGTTAAGCCAAAGAAATTTAGCCAAACCAAAACGTTCAAGAGTGGACACATTTGATTTAACGTACTGTTCTTTTAAAGTAACATGTATTGGTTAATATCTATGTTTGTGTAAACAACCGGGCTTGTAAAAAGTAAGGGTTTGTATTTTGAGATCAGCCGCCGCCATTTTGAGATCAGTCCTTCCCTTTTTTTGTTCACCAGCCTACAAATGCAATCAGCAACGCATCGTTTGATCCTTCCTCTCCATGCACGGACATCGGATTTAAACGTTCTTCAGACGTCGATGCCAATAATTCATTCCCAGCTTTTGAGCTGTTAGTCTAGAATTCGTGACGGTGGATTGACTTCAAGATGTAAAGGATCCTCATAAACCCCACCAGACTATGAAATATGTTTTGAGATCGCTCTTGAAGAGAACTCCAGTTTAGTGACGAGTACACTGTCTGCTGTACGTCAAAGTTCTGAGAGGCAACGTATCAAACCGCGTGTTGCTGTACGTTTGCTTTGGCAGCTCACTGTACTGTTCTACGGACCACTTAAATGTCTCTTTGTATTTCACTATCTTCCTCCCTTTGTCCCTCTGCCATCTCTGCCCGTTTTCCTTCGTCTGCCTCAAAACATAACTTTGACTTGGCCATTTCCCCTTTTTATTCTGTGCATGTATCCAAAACAAACAATCCTTTGAAAAGCCAGATGCACTCCCTTTTTTCTTTTCTTTTTTTTCTCCTCCTAGAGTTTTGTATGCGTTCCATGTGTTGCGTTCCATGTGTTGCATCACACATTTTCATCTCTACTAATGTATCCCGGCTGCCTATTTTGCGGTCTTGTGGGGGGGGGGAAACCGCCGATAAGTCGGTTAGTAGCACTAATCTGTTTACTACGATGTCATTGTAAGATCGACTGCTCAACCTCCTTTCCTGCGATTGCTTCACGAAAGCTTTTATTTTCAATACAGTTGTTGACTTCCATAAATCTTATGATTGTATTTATCCTAATACAGCATGATAGTGCATGTGTAGAAGTCAATAGTTTATTTTAAGAAGTATATCTCTTTAAGTTTAAATGTGTCTTCTTAATTCCCTTTATTACATTACCTGTGCTGAAGTCTCCCTCTACGGTCTACTTTCCTCAAAATGCAAGCTCTTACTCCTTGCCCCACAATCGGCAAACTAGCCAGCCACACCAGTCAGACAGGAAGAGAGTTACAGTATGAAATGAAAATCCTTGACATTTTGAGTTATCAAAGGGAAAACACATAATCATTTTGTGCCTGCTTCCCGTGTCTCTTCTCTAAACAAACCTCGTTCTCTCTGCAGGCAACGTAAAGTTCATTGACTACGAGTACGCTGGGTACAATTACCAAGCCTACGACATTGGGAACCATTTCAACGAGTTTGCCGGTGAGTGTGACTTTGCTCTGCTCGATATATCTATAAACAGACGCGTGTATGAAAATGGTCGCATGAGTGTTAAGCCTGTGTGTGTGTGTGTTGCATGTGTTTGCAGGCCTGAATGAGGTGGATTATAGTCACTACCCTCAGCGGGCCTTTCAGCTGCAGTGGCTCCGCTCCTACCTGGAGGCCTATAAGGAGCACAAAGGCCAAAGCGATGAAGTGACGGACGCAGAGGTGGAGATTCTTTACGTCCAAGTCAACCGATTTGCCCTGGTGAGCATTGGTATTGCACACATGAACCCCAGTGGATTACAGTAGAGCATATCTGCACATGGCCGTCCTTAGACGGCAGATGGTAGGTAGTCGTCGGAGTGCTTTTAGGCCTATATTCTTTGCATGGTTATTTCTGCTTATCTTGTTCCGGGCCTGTTGCCAGGTGTTGGGTCAGCTAACCCCGAATTACAGTGTGATGTGGGTTAAACAGCGCGCTGCTCTGAATGTGAGAGATGGATGTGTGTGATGTGCCCGCTGATGCGACCGTCGTATGGGAGGCACTCGTAAAGACGCCGTGTAACCCCTCTGAGGCTCAGCGCTCTGCCCTGAGCCTCGCTCTGCCTCGTTTCATGTCGAGAGGAAAAGAGGGCAGTGTGTGGAGGATGGGCAAGGCGACCAATTGTGTTTCTGTGTCAGCTGTTTGTTGTTGTTGCCATAGGGCTTCTGCTGGCTTTGTACATGCTTGAGTGTGCCGTGTTTGGTAATTAGATTTGACATTTACTTTTAGACTGAGTATAATCCTCTTTGTCTCTTCTGTTTTGTTTTTTTCTTCCTGCGTGAAGGCATCTCACTTCTTCTGGGGTCTCTGGGCTCTGATTCAGGCCAAGGTCTCCACCATCGACTTTGACTTCTTGGGGTATGTAGCCATCTTGAAATGCATATAAATAATAAAGCATACTTTATCAACAGCTATCTCACTTTGCTCTGCCAAGCAGATTTCAGTTAGTTAGTCACATGTTCAAGAACAAAATGTGAAGCGTTCAGATTATCATTTGTGCCAGAACAGTCTGATATTTCTGCTCTGCTTTCTGCCTAGCTAATATGTCAAGTACATTTTTATCTTATCGCTGACGCTGCCCTCCTCTCTCTCTGTCTCAGATATGCAGTCCTGCGCTTCAACCAGTACTTCAAGATGAAACTGGAGGTGGCTGCGCTGAACTTACCCGAATAATAGCCCCCCGCCCCCTCATCTTCTCTTCTTTTTGCTCTTCCTCCCTTCCACTCTTCTCTGAGGCTCACATGATGAATGCAGAGCGCCCTGTAGGGGTCTTGTGTAGGGAAGAGCCAGATTCAGAGTCTGTCCTGCTTTGTGCCTACAGGTCCCCTCTACATGTCCATATCTCTATAGATTAAATGGACCACAAGTTTATCCATCCTCTGCCGTCACAGCTTTTGTTAACCAGTAGCCCAGGTCATTTGTAATGTGGGCGAAGTGTGAGGCAGAGACTCGAGACCTCCTATAATGTGAAACCAACATGGCTGAATTTAGTTTTGGCTGTTTCAACTATCCTAATATCAATTAGATATTAACACTATATCAGCGTATTGTATCTGCCAGCTGCTTTTCTTGTAGCTCAAATCGCTACGAATAAGATGAAGGAATGTCGCTTTAATCGTAACCAACACGTAGTAACCGCCTACGGGACTGACAGGTGGCCCAAACACTAATCTCATTGCCTGGAGAAACCTTCATATGCGCTTTCATGGGGGGGGGAACCCTCGAGGGCCCCAGCCCAGCTCAGCTACAACCAAATTTCTGATACGAGAGCAATACAGAGCCTGCTTTGTTTGCTGCAGATGAAAGGAGGAAAAAAAGAAAAGAAATGCCAACATGGAAAGACCAGTGCTGTCCCTTACTCCTATGTGAGATGAGCCAAATTACAACAAAAGAAAACTCGTGGTCTGCCTTGTGACTTGTTTTCGCCCTTATTTTCCTCAGCATACTGTGCATTGGTGGTGCGCCAGATAAAGCGGTCATCCTGTGTAGTTTGGTCAGGGCTTCATTGTTTTGACTTTCTGGACTCAAAAGTACAAATATCCAGTTTGAGGAGAGCATCTTGTTTACGTCCAACTTCAAGCCCTCGAGTTAAATAGTCGAGTTAAAAGTCGAGTTAAATCAGTGAGCGGTCTTTTGACTCGAGGGGGGTTTTCACTGTAATGTACTGTAATGTTTCATTTTTGGTTCCGCTTTTCTTTTGTCTTAAACTAAACCGGGGACAAGCCTGCATCGCACTGTAATTTGAACATTCCATGTTCATAACGCCAGATAAGAAATTTGGTTGTAGTTTCAAATGGTAAGTTGGCTTTGTCGGGGACTTAATTCACTGTGACATCGACTGTAAGACATGCTGTTCTAAAAGAGACCAAACCGTTTAATCGTCTGCTCCGTCAGGGAACGTTTGGGAATCATCTTTAATGTTACAAAACAGTGCTGTTAAGTCCTAATAAAGTCAAGACATTTTTTATACACTTGTAGACCAGTTTTCACTTGCGTGTGTGTGATTTTGGCCTTGCTGGCTGTCTGATTGCTGAGCCACTGTTGGCATTCGTCCTATTAGGTGCACATTGTTGAAGTTTTGGTGAAGAAGAATGTAGAGTAGGTTTGGTTACCGCACATCTGTGTTAAGTTAAAAACAATGTAATGAATGTCAGCAGTTGGTGGGACCTGGGGAGCAAGAGCGCCATCTGTTGGAGAGAAAAGTAATGGTAGCTGTCAGTAGCTGTTCTCCATGTTAAGTGTTAGTGTTTTTTAAATGTGCTTTAGGAGTCCCTTTTAAAAAAACTGAAACAAGTTCATCTCTTAGGTTACTTTAAAAGGCCTACACCAAAGTGCTGACATCCGTTCTGTGCTTGTACATAACGCACACTGTATCATTTTCCATGTAGCAAAAATAGAATTAGAGTTACAGTTGTATAGACTTTTTATACTTTATATGAGGCTGAGGTCTTTTGAGAGTGTGGATGTTTGCTGATGGAACAGCATTTGACCCCCTGGACAAATATCGCATCCTTTTAAGAAAACAAGTTAAAATGTGTGAAACGGTTTCTTATTCACTCCAAAAAAACCAGTCTGCAGACCATGCATGTTTGCCCAGGTGCTCTCTGCTGGTTTGCAAAGCTCTGTGAAGAGGCCATTACTGACGAGACCGGATTGTCCGTGTTCTCACGAGTCTGCCAGTGTGCCTGTGAAAGCTCTTGTTTTGTACATGCAGGTTTGATGTTTTGACGGTTATGGCCTACGACTTCACTCCTGTCTTTAATTTAGTCTTTGCTTGTCTTTCATTCTGGTGACTTCAGATGGATGAATTAATGAGTTTAATTGCGTCGGGCCTAATATGAATTTGAAATGTACATTGGCTTCTTGCATATGTGAAAGTCTTCCATAAAAGCGTATTTGACAGTTTTGATAAGTTACCGGTTTGACTTATATTTGAGGAGCATGTTAAAGGTCTTTGTAGGATTGTTTTCTGTTGGCTGTCTGATTTGTACTCTACCATGTCAGACTGCATTTACATACATTTGACTACCACATAATCAAAATTGTATTGCTGAAATATTTCCTATGTGCTCTATTTCCTGATAGGGGCCTCCACTACTATTTAACATTGTATAGAACAAAATGCTCATTAATTTCGTTGGACACTTTAGCATATGTTTATATGTACAGTAAGCACATGTAATAATATCTTTGCTTGTTATCAAATGTGAATGAATGTACATAGGTGAAGTTCTTTTATTTTCTAAAAGTTGGATTAAAGTGAATAGTTGCCAGGGCTAAGAGGAGAAATAAAAAAAATAAAAAATACATTTTCAATACTGTAAACATGCTTTGAAAAATAAAGTCTATTTACCCGTATGTGTCTTCTCTTCATCCTTCATTTACTAAATCAAATATGGGTAGTTACTTTTTTTTATTTTTAGCTGAGGGGCAATTTTAAATCAGACGGTTTGTTACACAGAACCATGTTAGAAGCAGTCATTGGAAACTGTTTGGAAAAGGGCAGGCACTTTAAAAAAACCAAACATGTTGGGTAATTGTAAATCAAACGCTTCCCGCAGCAAGTAGAGAAATTAGAGCAAATGTCTCTTCCATCAAGAAAACCCTTCAGTGCCATTCTTTGCTCTTCTTCCAATGAAGAAATGCTCTCCAGTTCTAATATGACTGATGCTATAGCAGCAGCTATGCTAACCTCTTTAGGAGCATCTGTGTGTTGTCTTCCATGCCATTAGCTCCTCACAGGACTCAGATTGGTCTGTGCGCTGGCTTATGTTGTGGAAATTTATCATGTGGTTCTTTGAGTTATAACTTGTATTGCTTAAACCTGCATATATAAGCAGACGAGGTCAACCAGACTCATTTAAAACCTAATAATAAATGATGTCATATTGAAGGTATTTTAGCATTTCTGGCTTGCTGTAGTGTCATGATCTCACCACCTAACCCTCTTCTCACGAAAATACACCACCAAGGCTGGGAACCTGGCCTTGGTGGAGGCATCGGCAGACAGGACATCTGAGAAGGGAGGGCAGAGAGACGAGATAATGTGCATATATACTCTGTTTTAACTATTCATTGTTGGACCTCCGAACCATCTGTGGGGAAAGAGCTCTATCAATTCAACTGAATTATTATTAGTGTCTGTTCAATGAATAGGTTTTTGTATTTAAGAGTTTTCTCATCGATTATTTCTCACCTTGAGGTTAGAAAGATTATTTTCCACCACAGCTTACACAACTGCAAAGTATTTTTTGGGTGTGCAAGGCGGTAGCTAACCGCAGCCCTAAAAACAATGTTTCGACATGCTATACTATGACATATTTATTTTTATCGACATGCTATACTATGACTTATTTTTATCGACATGCTATACTCTGACTTATTTTTATTGACATGCTATACTATGACGTTTATTTTTATCGACATGCTATACTCTGACTTTATTACATTTGCCGACATGCTATACTATGACTTATTTATTACTTTTATCGAGATGATATATTTCAGAAAAAAAATCATAGTATAGTATGTTGAAAAAAGTCATATATTATTTCTTAAAAAATAAATAATGTCAAGACAATTAAGCTGGCTGCTAAGAAAAGCATTTTATTTTTCCACAAACAAATGAAAGAATACTAAAGGTAGGTATCAGTTGTCAGTCCCAAAGTGCATGTATGGATGTGTGTGGCAGTGTGTAGCAATAAACAGAATACAAACCCAAAAGAACAGCGTCTCCTTTTCCCAGAGAGTGAAGCTGCCAAATGAAGAAGGCCTTTAGGGGAAAGCCACACCGGCACAGGTGTGTCTCATTCAGCTGATGACTCTCCAATCAGCACCTGCAACAGACAACCAAAAGACACAGGGGCACCTAGTGTATGGGAGGTGGAGGGTCGTCACAGCATGTCAAAAACAAAAGTCGTAGTTTATATCACACTAAATAATAATTTATTATGGCATACTATACTACAACATGTTTAATGACAGAATACTAAACTTCAGCTCTTTTGCAGCACAATCCTTGTCTCCTCCAGGCCCAGGTCCAAGTCCCTTTGTTCATTCAGCAGCCTGGACAGAAAACAGAGACATTTGCACCAACATTTACAAAACATAGAAAGTCTCTCTTACTATAATACCAGACCCTGGTTCACTACTTTTTAAACATATTGGATATTGGATCAGTGCAAGCAACAAAATGACAGTTGAAAATATTTGATGGCATCAGAACGTTGCTATAAGTTGCTTTGTATCTTGAGAGATCCTGGCATCTACAATCCTCCCATCAGAACCAGCAGGCCGAGGACTGAAAGCATACATGTGGAAGATGGAAGATGTATTTTTGTTGAAAATGTATCCAAAAGATGACCACAAGATGGCAGCACATCCTACAGAAAGAAATGTGTATATGTACAGGCCACTAAACCTGGCAGAAAGCTCACCCACAGGATGCAAAAAATAATCCCTTTCAACATTTGGGATATTAATGCTTATTAACATATTTCTATATTTAAAATAAAGGCAGCTCATTAATATATGCCTTATATTGAACCTCTCTCTTCAAAACAAATAGGAAAAATACAGAATTTACTGAGGAAATCATCGCATTGAATTAGGCTTAAATTGCTTTGCGACATTGAGCCCTGGGCCAGTTTTCCTTTGTGGAGGGCCAAATTTGGTTACACAGCCTGGATGTAAGAAATACGTCTAAATAAAGGCAAGATGGAATGAATTCAAAAAGTGACTGGTGAGCTCTCGGGAGCTCAAGCCTGATGTCATCAAGATATTATTTGTTCGGTCTATTAGCCTGTGAAAACTACTGTAAAATGCAACAGATAGTGTAATGCGTTAGCTGCAAAAGTGCTGTAAGTAAATAAGGAGTGCATACACGGGCTTTAGTATTAGTACACATGTTTACAGTTTGCCATCCCAAGGGTTAAATTAGAAACTCAGTCATGCCTCACCCCCCAAAACCAAACAAGTAATTTCTTACTATTCTCTGGAAGCAAATCAGGCCTGCCTTTCGTCTCCCTAATGTGAGCACTGTCTTATACAGTCCAACAATTACAACAGTGCATTATCCAACTCGCTGACTGTAATTCAATTAACTTCCTCCCCCCCCCCGGCTTCATCCACCCGGATAATACACACATTAATTAACAGCAGAATCCAATATCGGCTGTTCTGCGCCTCCACTTATTTTCATTTCCCATAAAAAGGTCATAGCAGCCACTTCCAAGTGAAGACAATTGGTGTAAGTGTGTAGCAATGGATTACACTTGTATATCACCAGAGCTCAGAGAGTGTGGTGTGTGTGTGTGTGTGTGTGTGTGCATGTGCGTGACGGGAAGCTGGGAAGTAAGCCTGTTGGTAGTCAGCGGCTGAGGCCTGCAGAGAAGTGCTGACACAGCTGTGATGCACATCCATCACAGTTGTCATTTCACCAAACTCATAAGGCAAAGTCCCTGTGGAGCGGGATTTTAGCAACAAACATTTCAGGCAGGCAGAACAATCTCATTGGTCTCATTTCTCTGCAGGCAGAATAATCTCTTCGGCTGAGTTAAACCTCAGCGGAGAGTCTGATTTCTTTTCCCAACATCTCTTTGGGTTTAAAAATATAATTACAGTGAAACCAGTAAACAGTGGCAAGGCACTGTTCCTTGTTACAAGTGAAAAACAAGGGAACCTTATTAAAATGTTTATGCTATGGGTCATGTATAAATAATTTGCCAATATATCATACAGGATTTTAAATTCTCAAATAGCAATATTGGTCTCAAAAATCCTGTTTGGGTCAATGCAGATTCATACGTTCAAATATTATAGATATATTGGCTAAAGATGACTTGAAATACTTTAGTTGGTAAATGTAATGGTAGCTTTACCGTGATAATTAAAGCCAAATGCCAAAATAATAATTGCTTGAGATTCAATGAATGGACTGCAGTTAACAGATAAACATTACTTTTTTCCCCTGACCTTAAAATGAACGCGGATTTGTGGCCTCCAAAATCCAAACCTCAACTAATAATGAAATTGTGTTCAAGCAGCTCTGCCTCCAATAATTTAATTATTACAAAAACTCTTGTTGCAATTCATTCTATTCATGGAATCGGTGCAGAATATTAGATTTCCCCGGCTTAACGCTTAAGTTGAGCTTTTCTGGTAAATGTATGGTTATAGAAATGTGTTGTTAGTGGCGGCTCGATGATACTGTATTGCACCGCAACTATAAAAAAGCTCAAGTTGTATTAACAGGGCCGAGTCTAAGGGGTGGCCAGCGGGGCCCTTGCCACGTGTGACCTCGAATTGGACCATTTTATATCAAAGCAGGATTTCCTCTCACATGATGTCGGATCAAAAAAAAAAGGTCTGTGTCTCACCTTGGCTGTCCC